GTTCACATAAAAGGTTAGTACTTTTTATAGTCCAGTCAGGCAGATCTGGGTTCAAGTTCTGTCTGCGGCACAATCTAGTTACAGAAACTGCCTTCTCATCTGTGAAGCACACGCAGCACCTATCTCATAAACCTGTTGTAATGATCGAATGAAATAATACATGTTCCCCTATTTGGGACTTTTCATTTTCTTGGTCCTTGCTAACACCATCTTTTTGGCTGATTCTCTTCCTCGGTTATACCACATTAACTTGTGAGCCCAAGAGCCAGGCTTCTCTCCTACGGGTATTTTCTAATCTTAGAGGGTCTAGGCTAGTGCCAGGTATCTTTTGAGAGACCCAACCAACCACGTGAAAGAATCCATCACGCCCCTATAACCACCACCTGTGTTGGCAAACGTGCCGTCCTGCAGTTTCTTCCGAGGACCTACCGAGGTCTACGGGATTCCGAAGCTGCGCCTCTGAAAACAAATGCGCCTATCTCCCTCCGTCCTCTCCTCACACAACATTCTATATAGAAGAACTAGATAAACCACTGTCTCCAAAAACGTAGAAATAAAGTTAGTTAGCATCTTTACCAGAACGTTCAGGAATCTGTGATAAGAGACAGGAATTGAAAAGGGTCAAAATTTCTGGAGAAGTCTTTTTAGGATGTGCGGCATCAAGTTCTTGAACGAGAATTATGTGTACAACGGATGCTGGCAGAGAGTGAACCAGAAACTCACCGGCGAGTCCGCGCGGTTAAACGCTGCACTTCACTATCCAAGGAGTGACTCATAACATCAACTTGGATTCTACCACTGGGTGTAGATCCCCTCGGACAAGAGGCCAGTTTCATTGGAGGTGCGGGCCCCCAAGAGTAAATCTGTATCTAAGGAGGCACATATCCGCTTTTGAAAACACATTTCACTAAAAAACCGTCGGCTCCATATGCTGGGACAAATGTGCCATTTCTCCCTTGCAGAGGGCAAGGCCAAAGAGTCAGCGGGTGAGGGAGGGGAAGGTTCTGGGCCCTGAGGAGGGCGGCAGAGGGGACCCCGGGGGAGGTTCTGGGCCCTGAGGAGGGCGGCAGTGGGGACCCCGGGGGGAAGGTTCTGGGCCCTGAGGAGGGCGGCAGAGGGGACCCCGGGGGAGGTTCTGGGCCCCGAGGAGGGCGGCAGAGGGGACCCCGGGGGGAAGGTTCTGGGCCCCGAGGAGGGCGGCAGAGGGGACCCCGGGGGAGGTTCTGGGCCCTGAGGAGGGCGGCAGAGGGGACCCCGGGGGAGGTTCTGGGCCCTGAGGAGGGCGGCAGTGGGGACCCCGGGGGGAAGGTTCTGGGCCCTGAGGAGGGCGGCAGAGGGGACCCCGGGGGAGGTTCTGGGCCCCGAGGAGGGCGGCAGAGGGGACCCCGGGGGGAAGGTTCTGGGCCCCGAGGAGGGCGGCAGAGGGGACCCCGGGGGAGGTTCTGGGCCCCGAGGAGGGCGGCAGCGGGGACCCCGGGGGGAAGGTTCTGGGCCCTGAGGAGGGCGGCAGAGGGGACCCCGGGGGAGGTTCTGGGCCCTGAGGAGGGCGGCAGAGGGGACCCCGGGGGGAAGGTTCTGGGCCCTGAGGAGGGCGGCAGAGGGGACCCCGGGGGAGGTTCTGGGCCCTGAGGAGGGCGGCAGAGGGGACCCCGGGGGAGGTTCTGGGCCCCGAGGAGGGCGGCAGAGGGGACCCCGGGGGGAAGGTTCTGGGCCCTGAGGAGGGCGGCAGAGGGGACCCCGGGGGAGGTTCTGGGCCCTGAGGAGGGCGGCAGCGGGGACCCCGGGGGAGGTTCTGGGCCCTGAGGAGGGCGGCAGAGGGGACCCCGGGGGAGGTTCTGGGCCCTGAGGAGGGCGGCAGAGGGGACCCCGGGGGAGGTTCTGGGCCCTGAGGAGGGCGGCAGAGGGGACCCCGGGGGAGGTTCTGGGCCCTGAGGAGGGTGGCAGCGGGGACCCCAGGGGAGGTTCTGGGCCCTGAGGAGGGCGGCAGCGGGGACCCCGGGGGAGGTTCTGGGCCCTGAGGAGGGCGGCAGCGGGGACCCCGGGGGAGGTTCTGGGCCCTGAGGAGGGCGGCAGAGGGGACCCCGGGGGAGGTTCTGGGCCCTGAGGAGGGCGGCAGCGGGGACCCCAGGGGAGGTTCTGGGCCCTGAGGAGGGCGGCAGCGGGGACCCCGGGGGGGAGGTTCTGGGCCCTGAGGAGGGCGGCAGCGGGGACCCCAGGGGAGGTTCTGGGCCCTGAGGAGGGCGGCAGAGGGGACCCCGGGGGGAAGGTTCTGGGCCCCGAGGAGGGCGGCAGAGGGGACCCCGGGGGAGGTTCTGGGCCCTGAGGAGGGCGGCAGCGGGGACCCCAGGGGAGGTTCTGGGCCCTGAGGAGGGCGGCAGCGGGGACCCCGGGGGAGGTTCTGGGCCCTGAGGAGGGCGGCAGCGGGGACCCCGGGGGGAAGGTTCTGGGCCCTGAGGAGGGCGGCAGAGGGGACCCCGGGGGGAAGGTTCTGGGCCCTGAGGAGGGCGGCAGAGGGGACCCCGGGGGAGGTTCTGGGCCCCGAGGAGGGCGGCAGTGGGGACCCCGGGGGAGGTTCTGGGCCCTGAGGAGGGCGGCAGCGGGGACCCCGGGGGGAAGGTTCTGGGCCCTGAGGAGGGCGGCAGAGGGGACCCCGGGGGGAAGGTTCTGGGCCCCGAGGAGGGCGGCAGCGGGGACCCCGGGGGAGGTTCTGGGCCCTGAGGAGGGCGGCAGCCGGGACCCCGGGGGAGGTTCTGGGCCCTGAGGAGGGCGGCAGCGGGGACCCCGGGGGGAAGGTTCTGGGCCCCGAGGAGGGCGGCAGCGGGGACCCCGGGGGGAAGGTTCTGGGCCCTGAGGAGGGCGGCAGAGGGGACCCCGGGGGGGAGGTTCTGGGCCCTGAGGAGGGCGGCAGTGGGGACCCCGGGGGGAAGGTTCTGGGCCCCGAGGAGGGCGGCAGCGGGGACCCCGGGGGGGAGGTTCTGGGCCCTGAGGAGGGCGGCAGAGGGGACCCCGGGGGGAAGGTTCTGGGCCCTGAGGAGGGCGGCAGCGGGGACCCCGGGGGGAAGGTTCTGGGCCCTGAGGAGGGCGGCAGCGGGGACCCCGGGGGAGGTTCTGGGCCCCTGGAGGGCGCGGGTGGCAAGGCTGGTTCTTTCCAGGAATGTTCTCGGAGCAGCTGAGACAGCGCAGCACCTACTCCGCAGGTTGTGTCGGTGCCGCCGACGCCGCGTCCGGATCCCGGCGGCCTGGGCGAGGCCGTCCCACGCGGAGACCCCGCAGCCCGCCCCCCCCCACGGCCCTGGAGGCGGACGCCTAGGCGCCCGGCCGCCCCTCGGTCCCCGTCCCCTCCGCCCCTCGGTCCCCGTCCCCTCCGCCCCTCGGTCCCCGTCCCCTCCGCCCCTCGGTCCCCGTCCCCTCCGCCCCTCGGTCCCCGTCCCCTCCGCCCCTCGGTCCCCGTCCCCTCCGCCCCTCGGTCCCCGTCCCCTCCGCCCCTCGGTCCCCGTCCCCTCCGCCCCTCGGTCCCCGTCCCCTCCGCCCCTCGGTCCCCGTCCCCTCCGCCCCTCGGTCCCCGTCCCCTCCGCCCCTCGGTCCCCGGCCCCGTCCCCTCCGCCCCTCGGTCCCCGTCCCCTCCGCCCCTCGGTCCCCGTCCCCTCCGCCCCTCGGTCCCCGTCCCCTCCGCCCCTCGGTCCCCGTCCCCTCCGCCCCTCGGTCCCCGTCCCCTCCGCCCCTCGGTCCCCGGCCCCGTCCCCTCCGCCCCTCGGTCCCCGTCCCCTCCGCCCCTCCGCCCCCGTCCCCTCTCCGCCCCCGCCCCCGTCCCGAAGGCCGCCGCCCTCGTCCCCCTCGTCCCCCGCGGGTCTGCGAGGCCGGTTCCTCCGCCGTCCCAGCGCGGCCGTCCGAGCTCCGCGGGCCTGGGCTGCGGGCGGGGCGGGGGGCAGCGGGCGGGGGCGCCCCCTCGGCTCTGCCCCCGGGGGTGAGAGCGGCGGCAGGTCGGGGGCCCCGGGCGGGGGCGGGGGCGGGGGCGGGGGCGGGGGCCGGGGCCGGGGGCCCGGGCGGCGCCGCCGCTGCACTTACGTAGCGCTTCAGCTTCTTCTCCGGCGGGGACTTGCGGAGCCAGCCCGAGCAGACCACCTCGCCGCCGCTCATGGTGCGCGCCGCCCGCGGGACCTCGGCGGCCCGAGGCGGCGGGGCGGGCGGGGCGCGTGCGGGGCGGGGGCCGGGGCCGCGGGGCCGGGGCTGCGGGGCCGGGGCCGCGGGGCCTCGTCAGCGCGCCCGTCCCGCCGGCGCCCGGAGCGCTCCTGCCCGCGGACCCGGGCTCGGCCGCGCGCGCTCCGCCCCCGGAACGGGCCTCCCCGGGCGCCGGCCCAGGACGACGCCGCCCGCGCTCCCCCGCGCCCGCGGCCCGGCCCCGGCTCGGCCCCCGGCTCGGCCCCCGGCTCGGCCCCCGGCTCGGCTGCGCCCGGCGTCGGGAGGCGGAGGCCCGGGGCGGCGGGCGGGCGGCGGGGCAGGTCCGGGGGCGGCGGCGGCGGCGGCGGCGGCGGCGGCGGGCGGGGCGCGCGGCAGGGTCCGGCGCGTCGCGCTCTCGGGGGCTCCCGTCCGCGGCCCGGGCGCTGCAGACTTTCTGAGAAACTCCGCCGCCGCGCTCGCGGCCACAACAAGGGCCGGGGGCGGAGGGAGCGGCGGGGCGGGCGGGGGGCGGCGTCCGAGAGGCACCCTGGGATGTGTAGTCCGGGCGGCCGCGCGGGCCCTGGGCGGCGGGGGGCGGCGGCGGCGGCGGCGGCACTTCCAGCCCGCGGGGCGGCCGAGCCGGGGGGCGGGTGCTGGGCGGGCCCGGGCGCCGGGGGAGGGGCCTGGCGGGGGGAGGGGCGACCTCGGGGTGGGGGAGGGGCAGGCCCGCGTGGGCGAGGGCGGCGCTTCGGCGCGGGCCCCGGGCTGCGGCGCCCCCCGCGGTCCCCCCCGCGGCCCCCCCGCCCCGGCGCCCTCCCCCCGCGGGGCGGCTGCTCGCGGACCCCCCGGAGCGCGGCGTCGGCCCCGAGGCTCTGCCCGCGCGCGCCGGGCGGGGGCGGCACCGGGTCCGCAGCCCCGCGCTGCCCTGTCGTGGAAACGCTTTTTCCCGTTTGTTTCAGGAGAACCAAGGCCCAGGACAGTCCTCACGAGGTGACAATCGGGACAGTCTGGCAGCGTCGGCGGGGAGCTGCCGGGCCGCTGTGGCTAGCGCAGCCTTCGCCTCCCCGCGGCCCCGGGACCCGGCCCCGACCGCGACCCCGACCGCGACCCCGACCGCGACCCCGACCCGGACCCGAGGGCCGGGAGAGCGCCCGGGGCCGCGGGGGGAGAGCGCCCGGGGCCGCGACGGGAGAGCGCCCGGGGCCGCGGGGGGGAGAGCGCCCGGGGCCGCGACGGGAGAGCGCCCGGGGCCGCGGGGGGGGGGGAGAGCGCCCGGGGCCGCGGGGGGGAGAGCGCCCGGGGCCGCGACGGGAGAGCGCCCGGGGCCGCGGGGGGGGGGAGAGCGCCCGGGGCCGCGGGGGGGGGGAGAGCGCCCGGGGCCGCGACGGGAGAGCGCCCGGGGCCGCGGGGGGGGGGAGAGCGCCCGGGGCCGCGGGGGGGGGGGAGAGCGCCCGGGGCCGCGGGGGGGGAGAGCGCTCGGGGCCGCGGGGGGGGAGAGCGCCCGGGGCCGCGGGGGGGGGGAGAGCGCCCGGGGCCGCGACGGGAGAGCGCCCGGGGCCGCGGGGGGGAGAGCGCCCGGGGCCGCGACGGGAGAGCGCCCGGGGCCGCGGGGGCGAGGCGGCCTCCCGGAGGCGTGTGCGCGGAGGTTCCGAGGTGCGGGGGCACAGCGCGGGCCTGAGGCGACAGCCCGGACCAGGGCAGACGGGGCCAGCGACCCGCGGGACTTGCTCTTCTTGGAACGCCAGGGCTCGGCACACCCGTGATCGCCACTTTTACAGCAGCTGCTAATCCAGGCCGGTTCTTTCCAAGTGTGTGAACGCAGAGTTTGCACTTCTCCCTCCCGTAGGAAGCGCGTATGTGCTGAGTCGGAAGCATTTATGGTTGACATGAGGTTGGTTCGCTCTGGGCTTAAGAAAAGTTGTCGCTGTCTCCACCGATAAAGTCTTTTCAACGGAAAATTGAAACAGGCCGTATACTGCTTAGCTTCTGTAAGTCCCAATAATCTTTTCTCTATTTCAAGTAAAGGATTCGATTATCTCATTTCCATGAGATAGGAGAGTACCTGAAGAAATCTTTAAGGACTTTCCCTTTCAACTGTGCTGTTTTAGAATTGCCTGTCTATTGTTCTATTATTTATTTTATTTATGCATGAGAGAGAGAGAGGCAGAGACCCAGGCAGAGGGAGAAGCAGGCTCCGCGCAGGGAGCCCGACGTGGGACTCGATCCAGGGACCCCCGGGTCACGCCCTGAGCTGAAGGCAGGGGCTCAGCCGTGAGCCACCGAGGCGCCCCTAGATTTGTATTTCCGGAGAGCAAATAAGGGGCGAGGAGAGGTTGAAGATAGATACATCTTCATGTATTTACTTTAGAAAGGAAATTTGCATTATTTTAACGTATACCATTTTAGATTATCTGTTAAATCACATTTTATATTCATAAATTAAAGCATATCCCGGAAAAAGTTATCCCAACTAAGAATCTTGACTTTCATTCATACAACAAATACTTATGGAATATCCTGTGTCCAAGTCCCAGAGGACCTGGGATCCAATAGGGAGAAAAGTCAGACCTCTTCTAGAATCCCTCTCTCCTGGAGAAACACATTTCACAGGTAATTAGCCCTGTAACTTCTACAGTACACTCATGTGTGGTGTGAAATGGTATGAAAGAAAAATAGAGTCTTATTTGGGCATATAACTGGAGGATCTACCCCTGGGAAGAGAATGCATGGGTTGGGATAGGCTTCCCTGAAGAGAAGACTTCAAAAGGAGGTCCTCCGGTTGAGTGCAGTTAGCCTGGCAAAGTAGCAGAGAACATTCCAGACAGGAGCTACTAGGCACACAACTCCTCAATCTAGAAGGACCTGAACGAAGGCAGCAGCGAGGCAAGTGAGAGGGACGTTGCCCAGGGTGAGGTTACAGACAAGGGACAGCTTGCACAGATGCTTGCAGATTAGAGTTGAAATGTCTTCTTGCAGCAGATGATCATATCGTTTCCTGTGGTTCAAATCACCTCAAACAATCGCTGCAATGGACTTTGTCGTTTACCTCCAGCATCCTCCTTTAACCACATGTCTTCCAACTTGATCTCTGACGATCTTCTATGTAATCTTCCTAATAGCTTTTCTAGCCTATTAACGCTTTGCTTTCTCGTGATCCATCAGAGCTCTCCTTTCTCCACTTCCCCCTTGTCCAGTTTAAATTCCATGGTCCGTATTTTTAATGACGTGGTCCCAACTCACAAAACCCAATTCTGGATGAGCCCAACTCTACTTTCCTCTGCATCCACACAACCAAGTGGAGGGAATCACCCAACAGGGTAAGTGGCATCACCATAAATTCATGTTCCAAGACCTCAAATAGATCCTCAACTATCTGTAGGGGCAAGTCTTAGTTTTCTGGACCCTAAAGCTTATACAGTTTGTAGAGTCCTTTTAAAGAAAAAGAATATACAATTACAAATATAAAATTAGGATGAATATGTATTCAGAGTGAAGAAATAAAAGACAGACATATTTACTGGAGCGGTGGAGATACAGGCGCCTTTCTTTTGAAATCTTTATGGTGATTTACCAGAGCCCTTACACGTACATGCCACCTGAGTGCATCCTGGCTTCCCCTCCCACAAGGACTCTCCACCTCTCCCAGCAGTTCCTACTCCCGTGGGAGACCTGTGCTAAAGCTTCATTAGCTTTATGGATGTCCCTGCTACCTGGTAGTTCCACTTCCTTTATCTGGACAGTGCACTAGCCTACTCCCTGCAATAACTTGTCTTTTTTAAAAAAGATAATAGGGCACCCCGGGTGGCTCAGCGGTTTAATGCCGCCTTCAGCCCCAGGCCTGATCCTGGAGACCAGGGATCGAGTCCCATGTCGGGCTCCCGGGATGGAGCCTTCTTCTCTCTCTGCCTGTGTCTCTGCCTCTATCTTTGTGAGTAAATAAATAAAATCTTAAAAAAAAATAATAGCTTTATTGATATATAATTCACATACCATAAAATTCACATTTTTAAAGTGCACAATTCAGTGATTTATAGTATACTTAAGAAATTCTTCAGTCTCACCACTAATTCCAGAATATTTCACTGCCCCAAAAAGAAGCCCCATTTGCAAAGAAATTCCCATTAGCAGTCCCTCTCCATTCCCCCCTCCACCCTTGCCCCTGACAACCACTTAATCTTTCTACTTGCATCTTTTGGACATCCCATATAAATGGAATTATACAATAAGTGGCCTTTTGTGACTGCATTTCATTATTAAGCATGTTTTCAAGGTTTATCCACGTTGTAGCGTATATCAGTACTTCGGTCCTTCCTATTGTTAAATAGCATTCCATTGTATAGATATTGCACATTTTCCTTATCCATTTATCAGTTGGATATTTAGATTGTTTCTACCCTTTGGCTATTATAAATAGTGCTTGTAGTAACTTAAACTTCTTCAGACTTCTCTAATTCCGACTCCCCCACCATCTTTATCAACTGAAGATCTTTTTTACAGCATCACCGGAATGCCAGAGTGGTCACATGTAAACTCCTTCAACCTGTAGCCATCAAATATGCAAACCTACAAATTATCTTCACTTCTCCTACTCTCCCTTCTTCCTATGGCAAATAGGAAACATCGCTTTCTTCCTACAAGAGGCCAATCCCTCAATTTATGCTTTGGATTTCATCCCGGTACACCTTCTCAAGAACCTCACCCTACAAATGATCTCTTCTTTATCTAAATACTCTCCATGTAGTCCTTTCCATTGCCCTTTGTGGATGTATGCATTCCCATAAAACTTTATTTACAAAAGCAAATGGTGAGCCAGATTTGGCAAAAGGCCATAGTTTACCAAATTTTGCTTTATGCCATCATGATCTGTTTGGATGCACGTTAAAACACACACTACACTACACTTTAAAATGGAAGTGAACCATTAGTATACTATAATGCCTTTTAATAGCTATTGTGAGGGGAATCTTATCTGAAATTGCTGATAACATGCAATTGCAGATTATTTAATTCTTCCCTAATGTTAGCGCTATTCCTCTGTGTAAACTACCATATAATTAAAATGAAAATTGGCTGCATTGTAATTGACAAAAGGATTAAGGCAAGAGATTATAGTTCTCTTCAGTTTTAATTGAAAACCAAGTTAAATTATCCAACATGGTTTTTGTTTTGTTTTTTTTAAAGATTGTATTGATTTATTTGAGAGAGAGCGTGAGAACACAAGTGAGCAGGGGCAGAGGAAGAGGGAAGTAGACTCTGCTGATCAGGGAGCCGGGCGTGGGTTTCAACATGGGGCTGGATCTGGGGCTTGATCCTAGGACTCCAGGAGCATGAGCTGAGCCGAAAGCAGATGCTTAACTGACTGAGCTACCCGGGCACCCCTATCCATCATGTCTTAAACATTCATCTTTTCTGTTAAAATGGTGTGAAAAATCCTCCACGTTTCATATTTCTTTTCAGGTACCAGCTCTTCTCTCTTCTCTCACAGCCAGATCACTCTTGAGTGCTGCTATATTTTCTGTCTCTAGTTCATCCTCCATCATTCTTCAACCTGCCTTCATTCTAGCGACCATCTCACTTTCTCTCTTGTACTTGCCAAGGTCACCAGTCACCCCCACATCACTAAATCAGACCAGAATTTTTAGTCTTCATATTTCTTGATCTCTCCTTCCTAAAACTCAGTATCCTGTTCTCCGAGACACTGCAGCATTGGACCTCCCTGTCTCCTTGCTCCTTCTCGGATCTCTTTGCAGGCTCTTCTTCTGCTAGCCCTTGGCGTTCTAAAGTCCAGCCCCCTCTCTTCGCATTCTGTGCTTTCTCCTGTGTGGCGGTCTCTGTGCTTTATCTGCACATAAACACTTCACAAATTTCCATTCCAGCTTAGTTCTCTCTTCTGATAGACCCTCCTATAAATCTAACTGCTTTCTTTATATGCTGCTTGGCTCAATTACATCAACAAAATCAAAATCCTGGTCTCCAGATCGCACCAAATCTAGTCCTCTTCTGCTTCCTTTCTTTTCTCTTGGAGTCATTCTTTGTATCTTCTCTCATCTTCCATCACCAGCCCCTACCAAACGGAGATGCGCTGGCCTATGGAATCATTTCCCCATTCATCCACTTCCGGACTACCACTCTTTTTGAAGTTATTTCATCTCTCACTTGGATTTTTGGTTATATTCTTAAAGCATACACCTTCTATTTCCCCTGATAAGTAGATTCTCCACTTTTCAGCCAGAGTAATCTTTATAAAACACAAATGTGATCAGTTCAGTAGCTGCCCGTTGATCACAGGATAAAGGCGTAAATCCTTAGTGTGGTGGGTCTACAGATGCGCATGGCCTCAGCCTGTACCATCTCTACCTCCTTCTGTGCTAAACTCCCCACCTCGCCCCCCTCCCACCAACTCGCACTTCCCGCCTCCTACTACAAGGCCTACATTCTTGCTGTTCCCGTGCTGGACACGCTGCCCGCCCCGGGACTTGCATTTCGTTTTTCCATCCTCGCCCCCACTACAGATCTCAGGCCACCCATTTCTCCCACAGGAAAACTTTTCCTTCTACCTTGGTAGAATTATACTCCCTTTTCTACCCTCTTACCATGCTGTTTATTGTTCTCTCCTTCAGAATACGTGTCACAGTTGTCATTTTACATCTGTCTCTGAGGTTATTTTATTGATATTTACTTCTCTTACTAGGTAATGGACTCTAAGGAGGGTAAGGACCGTGTCTAGTTTGTTTATTCAGTTTATTTACACCCCTACCACCTAACTGGATACCTGGCACATAATAGGTACTGAACGCATACTTATTGAGTGAGCTAATGAATGAAGGAAGCTTTGATCAGGAGGCTGAGTGAGCCAGGGTTTTCTTACTACTGACGTGGTAACGAGATGGTGCTGGCATCAAGGTGCAGTGCTGTGGTCTGAGCGTTTATGTGCCCTCAAAATTCATATATCAAAATCCTAGCACCCGAGGTGATGGTATTAGGAGGTAGGGCTTTGGGGAGGTGATTAGGTCATAAGAGCAGAGCCCTCGGATCCCTGGGTGGCACAGCGGTTTGGCGCCTGCCTTTGGCCCAGGGCGCGATCCTGGAGACCCGGGATTGAATCCCACGTTGGGCTCCCGGTGCTCCCTGCTTCTCCCTCTGCCTATGTCTCTGCCTCTCTCTCTCTCTCTCTCTCTCTCTCTGTGTGTGTGACTATCATAAATTAAAAAAAAAAGAGTAGAGCCCTCATAATGGAATTAATAATTTTATTAAAAAGCCAGAAAAATCTCCCTTACCCCTTTCCACCATGTGAGGACACAGCAAGAAGGCACCATCTATGAACCAGAAATAGGGTTCTTTCTAGACACTGAATCTGCTGATGCTTAGATATTGGACTCCCCAGCCTCCAGGAGGACTATGAGAAATAAATTTCTGTTATTTATAAGCCACGCAGTTTTTTTTTTTTTGGTTGTTGTTGTTATAGCAGTCCAGAAGAACTACAACAGGTGGAAATTGTCTCCTGAGTAAGCAGACTCCAAAAAGTGACAAACCATACTATGGATCATTACCTAAAGGTGGGATTTTTTTCTCTTTTAAAGTTTTCCCACTTATGATCTTTTCTCTATAACAAAAATGCGTCACTTTCATAATAGGAAAAAGAATGCATGTAATATTTTTTAGTTAACAAAAACTTAAACCTAAACTTTAAAAATTGAGATTTTCATACATCTATGCATTTCTAAGGAAGTTGTGTTTAAATAATCCTGGAATGAAAATATCCTTGGAATAAGATTTACACAGTTATAATTAGAAAATGTTTTTTTGACAAAGGAATAAAATATTGTTTTTAGAGTATTTCAATTTTAATTATTAGGGGCCATGAAAAATTTAAACAGTTTATGATAACACTGCCTGCATTGCATAATTTTATTTCTAACCTAATACTTCAAAATGAAGGTTATTAACTAGGCTAAAAGAAAGTAGTCATTTTGTAGAATGTAAACCGAAATGCATTTGAGATTGTAACATAAAATCATTTATATAATGGTATTAGAGTAATTTAATATAATAATTACCTTTTCACTCTTCTTGAGTTCAAATTGTATTTTGGATGAGCAACAATATTCTACAAAGTCAAAGTTATATATACTTAAGAAAACTGTTTTATTTTTTCTTCTTTTTTTTTTACTTTAAGTAGACTCCATGCCCAGAGTGTGGAGCTCAAACTCACAACCCTGAGATCAAGAGTCACATGCTCTACCAACTGAGCCAGCCAGGTGCCCCAACTCAGTTTTCTTTTAAACTGAAAATTATGAAATGACTGCTTCAGACCTGTGCCATTTATTAGACTGAGATAAAAACTATAGGTACAGAGAACCAAGAAACAGACCAATACATATTTAGTCATTAAATTGAGGACAAAGTTGACAGTACAGTACCTTGGGGAAATGATAGACTTTTCAGTAAGTTGTCCTGGGTCAGTTGGACATTCCTATGGAAAAAAAAGAGATCTTGTCTCCTATCTTACAACATACACAAAAATCCATCCCAGACGATTTGTAGATTTAAAAATTAAAGTGGAAAGGGGCACCTAGGTCTCTCAGTCGGCTAAGGGTTAAGCGTCTGACTTGGTTTCAGCTAAGGTCATGATCTCAGTCCTGGAGGTTGAGCCTCCTGTTGGGCTCCAGGTTCAGGGTGGAGCCTGATTGAGATTCTCTTTCTCTCTGCCCCTCCCACTCCTGCTCATGCGCTTGCTCGCGCGCGCTCTCTCTCGCTCTCTCTCTCTCTCTCAAATAAATAAATCTTTAAAAAAATTTTAGTGAAGAAACTAGAATGTCTCTAAACGAAAACATTCAAAACTATCTCTTTGATTTTGGAAAAGGTCAATAGAAACAGAAAGCACCAGTCCTAAAATTAAAAAAGTAATATATTGGACAACATTAAAATTGAGAATATCTCTTCATCAAAATCATGTTTAAGGGAATACAAAAACAAGCCACAGAAGAGAAGAAGATATTTGATTTCTTTTATTTGCCATGGGGCTTGTAATCAGGATACCTGAAATACCAGAATCAGTAAGAAGATGATAGACAATTCAAAATTCAGTTTCCAACCAAGATTGAGTAAAGGAGACTAGATTTACCTACCCTACTGAAACAGCCTCTTAACAAAAGAACAAAATATATGATACAACAATTTTCATGACATGAAGCCTCAGCACTGAAGGAGTAATACCTGGAGGCAGGAAGCCAACAAGGTGGACATCACAATTGCCCTGACTTACTGCCCGCAAGAGACTTTCTAGGTCACAGCACAGGGTGCTTGCACTCTCTCTGAGTTGAGAAGAGGGATCTGGGAATTTGGGAAGGCTAACACAGTAGGAACTTGCAGAATGGAGTACTAGATGGGAGAGAGCTACAGAGAGAGACCGTCCTGGAGATTCCCCACCCAGTGGTCCCCTCAGGTCTTCGGCTGAACACTGATCAGCAGGTACAGGTGAAGAAACTACTCGACACTAGAGAAAGAACCACTGAAAAAAGATTACAGGGAAAAATCACCAGGGAATTGCACAGGGTAGAAATAGTTCCTATTCTCCCAGCCAGAGTGAAAACCTCCATAACTCACAGGGCTCTGTAGACTACTTTGGAGGAGTTTTGTCTCAATAGTGGGGCAAAGGGGCCTCTGGGTGGCTCAGTCAGTTAAGCCTCCAGCTCTTGATTTTGGCTCAGGTTATGATCTCAGGGTCATGAGATCAAACCCCACATCGGGCTCCGTGCTTAGCTCGGAGTCTGCTTGAGATTCTCTCTCCCACTCCCTCGGCCCCTCCCTCTACTTGCATTCTCTCTCTAAATAAATAAATAAAATCTTAAAAAAGACATTATGGGGCAAAACTAGCCCTAGATTAAATGCTGCTGTGATCTTGCCTAAGAAAACTTAATAGCAAGACTGTAGGATCAAACTGTTTACAAGTACCTTAACTATGTCCCAAATAAAAGCTCAATATATTTATAGGTAAACAAAAATATTCAACACCCAACAAGATATAATTTGCAGTATTTGACATCCGATCAGAAATTATAAATAAGCAGGTAAGTATGACCCAAAACAAGGAGAAAAATCAACTGAAGCCAACCCAGAAATGACACAGATGATAAAATAATTAACAAAATTAGAAGCTATTACAACTGTTATAACTACATCCTATAAGTTCAAGAAGCTAGAGAGATGACATCATAAGTAGAGACATAGAAGGTATCACAAAGGTAGATAAATCTTCTGGAGATGAAAAATACAATGACATGAAAAATTAACAGTAGATTAGACATTACAGAAGATTAGTGAATTAAACACATAGCAGGATGAAACACAGAAAGAAAAAAATTGAAAATAAACAGAGCATCAATAAAAATGTGATCCCTTGTACTAGTCAATGAACATGTATTTGGAGTCTCCAAAAGAAGGGGGAGGCATAGAAAAATATCTGAACAGATAATGGCCAAAAATTACCCAAATTTGTTGCAACTGCAAACCCATAAAGACTCAATATTGGTGCAAGAAATTAAAGACCTAAGTAAAATATACCGAGTTTATGAATCACAAGATGGTATCATTAAGTTGTCCGGTTTTATCCAGCTTATTTTATAAATTCAACACAATATTTCGGCAAGGTTTTTGTTTGTTCGTTTGTTTGCAAAATTGATAAGCTAATTCTAAAATTCATTTGGAAATGCAAAGGACCTAGAATAGCTAAAACAACTTTGAGAAAGGAGGAAGTTAGAGAATTTATACTACCTGATTTCCAGACTTGTACAAGGCCTCAATAATAAAGTCAGTGTATATTTGCATCAGCATAGACAGATAGATTCATGGAACAGAATATAGTCCAGAAATAGACATACATATATAGTCAATTGATTTTTGACAAAGGTGTGCAACTCAAAGAAGAAAGGATTTTCTTGTTAATAATCGATGCTGAAGCAATTGGATATCAAAATGCAAAAAAAAACCACCCAATAAAAACAAAAAGCACAACCAACTTTGATATATAAGCTTCAGCACATGCACAAATGTACTCATGATAGATTATGGACTTAAATGTAAAGCCTAATAACAATAAAATCTCTGAAAGAAAACATAGGGGAAAATCTGTGTGATGCTGAGTTAGGGAAAGATCTCTGAGATATGATGTCCAAAGTATGACCCACAAAAGAGAAAAATGATAAATTGGACTTTAAAAAATTTTAAATTTCGGCTTTTTGAAAGATACTGCTGAGAAAATGAAAAGCCACAAGCTGAGAGAAGTTATTTGCAAACCACATATTTGATAAAGAAATTGTATCCAGATACTATAAATAACTGTCAGAACTCAATAATAATAAAACAAACAACCTAATAAAAAACACGAGCAGAAGAGGAGTGCCTGGGTGGCACAGCTGGCTAAGCGTCCAACTTGTGGTTTTGGCTCAGGTCATGATCTCAGGGTCCTGGGTTGGAGCCCCACGTGGGGCTCTGCGCTCAGAAGAATCTACTTCCAATTCTCTCTTTCCCTCTGCCCCTCCCTCTGCTCACTCACATTCTCTCTCTCTCTCTCTCTCTCTCTCTCTCTCTCTGTAAAAGAAATACATATTTTTTTAAAAAAATGAGATTTGTACAACACTTAACCAAAACAGGCACATAGATAACAAGCACATCAAAAGATGATCTTTAGGGAAATGCAAATTCCTATATCAATTGGGATATCACTATACACCTATTAGAATGTCTAAAATTAAAAAGATTGATCACATCAAATGTTAGTGAGAGACCGAGCAACTGAAACTCTCATACTGCTTGTGAGAGTGTAAAATGGAAGAAATTCTGGTGGTTTACGTTAAATATGCATGTACCATAGGATCCAGATATATCTATCCAAGATAAATGAAAACATATGTTAATTCAAGGTCTTGTGCAAAAATGTTCTTACTAGCTTTATTTTAAATAGCCCCAAACTGGAAACAACTCAAATGCCAATTAAGAGGTTTTATCAACCAAGTGTGGTATATCCATACGATGGGATACTACTCAGAAATAAAACGGAATGAACTAGGAATGATCCATGTAATGATAGGATAAATCTTAAAATAATTATGCTGGGGATCCCTGGGTGGCGCAGCGGTTTGGCGCCTGCCTTTGGCCCAGGGTGCGATCCTGGAGACCCGGGATCAAATCCCACGTCAGGCTCCCGGTGCATGGAGCCCGCTTCTCCCTCTGCCTATGTCTCTGCCTCTCTCTCTCTCTCTGTGACTATCATAAATAAATTAAAAAAAATTAAAAAAAATTAAAAAAATAAAATAATTATGCTGCGTGAAAGAACCTCAGTAGAAATAAAGACACCCTGCATGATTCAATTTATAGAAATTCTAGAGAATTCAAATGGATCGATAATGACAGAAAGTGAATCCATGGTTAGTTGGGATTGGGAGGGATGGATATGTTCACTAGCTTGATTGTGGTGTACAAATGTATCAAATTGTGCATTTTAAATACATGTGCTTTACTGCATATCAGTTATACCTCCGTAAAGCTGCTTAAAAAAAACAAAACAACAACAACAACAAGGTAGGCAACTCAGTAAGAACAAAGGGCCAAACACTTACACGTGGGCAAAGCTAACCTATGGAAGTCAGGAGGATGGTTCCCTTTGCTAAGCACTGGGCAGGGGAGAAATTTCTTCGGGCAGTGTGGTAGTGTTGATTTCTTGATTAGGTGGTTGGTTACAGGAGTGTTTCCTTTCAGGAATTCATCAAGCTGAATGTAATTGGTGTTTGGTATTTACGCTATACTTTAATTTTAAAAAAAGCTTACTTATTATAAAAAACAACTATATATACATCTGTGATCATGGTGTGAATCTTTTTTTTAGATTTTTAATTTATTCATGAGAGACACACAGAGAGAGAGAGAGGCAGAGACACAGGCAGAGGGAGAAGCAGGCTCCATGCAGGGAGCCCGACGCGGGACTCGATCCTGGGACCCCGGGGTCACTCCCGGGGCCGAAGGCAGACACCCAACCACTGAGCACTCGGGTGCCCCCATGGCGTGGAAATCTGCGATAGGCTGAAGGTCTATTTCAGGGTAAAGGCTCTGTCCCTCTTACTCTGGGAGATGAACTCCTCTTACTGTGCTTTTCCAGGTGGTAAAAGATTTCCTCAGAAGTTTCTCAGAAAGCTGCTTATTATTTTTATAAGTGAGGGATGTGCCTATTTTAGCTTCAAAGAAATCAGCAACCTCTTCCAGACAGGAAATTGCCGGGGAAATGAAATTAGATTGTTGAGAATGCTAATGCCGTTGATTCCAGAGGGGTGGTGCCTTGGCACGCCAGCCGGTTTGCCTCTTCAGCTCTTGTGCTTCTCTGGGACCCACCAGGGTGGCTTCCTGGGTCATGGTTCCACTCTCTAATGCTGTTGCCTTTGGTGACAGCCGAGGGGACCCTTTGACATATGGGGAAAAAACTGATAAGCTGTGCCAAGCCAATCAGATTCACTCTTGAAGGCTTTGGATTTGAGACGGAGACTCTAATTAGTTAGAGGTGGGCCCTGGAGCTGGGAGGTCCTGCAGCTCCCTGGTAAGGAAGGCTATGTCCTCTGGGGAAAGAGAGGGAAGAACTCCAGAAGAACCAGAAAAAGGCAAAGAGACAATCCGGGTTGCAGCCTCTCAAGGGGCCACCCTGGAGTTCTTGCCCTTGGGATCCATGAGAGTCTATGAGCAAAAGTAAAACTTCCCTTTTTGTTTGATATAACCTGGGTGGTTTCTCTTCCTCATAACCAAATGCTTTCTGTCTGAGAAGTTTGGCAAGTAATGAATTTAAGTAAGTAAAAATCTGGGTTATGGTGAAAGAAGAGTCCTATCATGTAGAAACTTAAGATTTGAAAGTAAACTTTCAATTTTCCAGGCCAAACTTCTCTCTCTTTTCAGGAATTCTTTCTGTGAGAGAGTTGCTTTGTCTTTGATGACCACTTCAGGTCTTTTCTCCCTCCTCACCTCCTTCTTTTCCTTCAACACATGTCTACTGACTGTTCACGATTAGCTGGGCACTTTCCTGGGTACTTAGGATTGAACAAATCAAAAAAAATATTTTTTTAATTAAAAAAAAAATCTGGGGCCCACTGCCCTGGGCCATTCCTTGCAAAAAAAAAAAAAAATCTGCTGCCTTCTCGGAGCTTACACTCATATGAGGAGAATTAGATGATAAGCAAGAACATATAGGAACAGACACAGCACGTTAGAAGGTGATAAGCTATATGAGAAGAAGGAAGTGAGTACGAGAACGGGGGTGGAGAGTAAGAGTAATGAGAGGGTGGAGGGAATGCAGTTTAAAGCAGGGTGCGCCTTACTGAGAGCAGGCCATTTGCAGAGACTTAAGGAGGCGATGACATCTAAGGAGCAAAAGAACCAGAATAAGCTGGAGGGACAGTTGCAGGAGAGGAGGATGAGGTGGGAGACAGAAGAGGGGCCGGGTCATATGGAACCTTGTAGGCAAATGCAGGAACTGTGGCTCTTGCTCTGAGTGAGCCCAAGATCCATCGTGGGGTTCTGAGCAGAGAGACATCCTCTGACTTGTTTTAACACAAAATAGGTTATAGGAAGGCAAGGATAGATTTAGGGACATGGTAATTATTCCTAAGACAATCAGTACCACCGAGTAAAAATCTGTATTCTTGCCAATTCCATCCATTATTCTAAACCCTGTCTGAAGCATTTGAAATCAATTATTTTTCTTTTTTAAAAAATGCTTTATCTGATTATAAAACTAAACATATGTATTCTTGGTAGGATAGTTGGGAAACACACAAAAAAGTAAGACTGCACATTATACTCTCTCCAAAGAGAACCACATCTTCAATTTTATACCATTTTAATCTTTTTTGTATATTTTTTATTGGAGTTCGATTTGCCAACATATAGTATGACACCCAGTGCTCATCCCGCCAAGTGCCCCCCTCAGTGCCCGTCACCCAGTCACCCCACCCCCACCCACCTCCCTTTCCACCACCCCTTGTTCATTTCTGAGAGTTAGGAGTCTCTCATGTTCTGTCTCCCTCTCTGATATTTCCCACTCATTTTCTCTCCTTTCCCCTTTATTCCCTTTCACTATTTTTTATATTCACTCTTTTATATTCCCCAAATGAATGAGACCATATAATGTCTCATAATGACTGACTTCACTCAGCATAATCCCCTCCAGGTCCATCCACCTCGAAGCAAATGGTGGGTATTTGTCGTTTCTAACGGCTGAGGAATATTCCATTAGATACATAAACCACATCTTCTCTATCCATCATCTTTCGATGGACACCGAGGCTCTTTCCACAGTTCGACTATTGTGGACATTGCTGCTAGAAACATCGGGGTGCAGGTGTCCCGGCGTTTCACTGCATCTGTATCTTTGGGGTAAATCCCCAGCAGTGCAATTGCTGGGTCGTAGGGCAGCTCTATTTTCAATTTTTTGAGGAGCCTCCACACAGTTTTCCAGAGTGGCTGCACCGGTTCACATTCCCACCAACAGTGCAGGAGGGTTCCCCTTTCTCCGCATCCTCTCCAACATCTGTTGTTTCCTGCCTTGTTAATTTTCCCATTCTCACTGTTGTGAGGTGGGATCTCATTGTGGTTCTGATTTGTATTTCCCTGATGGCCAGTGATGCGGAGCATGTTCTCATGTGCGTGTTGGCCATGTCTATGTCTTCCTCTGTGAGATTTCTGTTCATGTCTCTTGCCCATTTCAGGATTGGATTGTCTGTTTCTTTGCTGTTGAGTTTCATAAGTTCTTTATAGATCTTGGATACTAGCCGTTTATCTGATGTGTCATTTGCAAATATCTCTTCCCATTCTGTAGGTTGTCTTGTAGTTTTGTTGACTGTATCCTTTGCTGTGCAGAAGCTTCTTATCTTGATGAAGTTCCAATAGTTCATTTTTGCTTTTGTTTCTCTTGCCTTCATGGATGGATCCTGCAAGAAGTTGCTGTGGCCAAGGTCAAAAAGGGTGTTGCCTGTGTTCTCCTCTAGGACTTTGATGGGTTCCTGTCTCACATTTAGGTCTTTCATCTTTCATTTCGAGTGTATCTTTGTGTCTGGTGTAAGAGAATGGTCCAGTTTCATTCTTCTGCACGTGGCTGTCTAACTTTCCCAGCACCTCGTATTGAAGAGACTGTCCCTTTTCCACTGGATAGTCTTAGCATTTTAATCTTCTTACTCACATACATTTACATATTTTAGTCTTCTCCTCCAACAGTTCTTCAGCTGTTTGAAGGCAGATATTCATACCTTTTCCCCTCAGTTTTTCACTATCTGGACCAGGGGTTCTTATTTGGGGATTCACAGATTCATTCCAAGGTTCTAGGAACTTCCTGCAAACATAAATGAAATTGCGGGTATTTTTATGTAGAGGAAAATAAACGTTTCTTCAACTTTTCAAAGGGCCATGTGACACCAAAGAAAGTTAAAAAACTGATACAAAATATTTTGGGTACTTGCCTCCTACAGATTGATTCATTAATCATCCCCGTCTCAATTCACGAGAGTGAGTTTCTAGCAGCATGTTTGTCCAATGGACGCGATCCACTTGGCCACATTGACGGCTAGGGGTAAGTACTTGACCCATGCTACACCAAACAGAATCCCTTCTATTGGGAACTTGGGGCTGGGATGATGAGAAAGCCAGTTTGGGGCGTAGTAGACTAGGAATTGGAGAAGCCGTCTCACACAGACAAAGACTAACGGAGCAACAGGGAGGAGCAGAGAGCCAGTGCTGCCAGCCTTCCTGGTGACGTTCCATTTCCTGGCTCCAGCCCTTCCCAAAGCTCAGCCACGTTCCTACCTTGGATCCTATGAGGCGCTCCTGTTTCTAGGGGTGATATTCAAAATATTTAAAGCTGGTTCTCTGTGGGCACCAATGAATCAGAGCAGATGCTACCAAGAAACGACTGGCTCTGCCAGCCCCTGCGTCTCACCAGGATGGCGGCCCTGTCATCCCGAGGATTCGTGACCCCGTCTCTGCCTAAACCAGCTACGTTTTTTGCTGAATCAAAAGAGTTTGAACTGATGTAGAGCCACCGCTCTGGCTGAGGTCGCCCAGTGATTCCTTACACAGCGGAGAGCACATGCCTCTCTGTCCGTCTGCTTCCCCCGAGTTGTCTGGCTGCCAATGACCCTCTTGGAGAGTGGAGGTCATGGCTGAGTAGTCAGCTGTTGCTCGACTAGTTAGTTGGAGGTGAGACTACTGAGGTCATCGCCTTGCGTGATTTGGACACAGTCCTATTAGTGCCGCCTACAGGAGGATTAGCTTTCTGAGTGGCTAAGTCACATCGCACTGACCTTATGATCAACAAAAGCACCTCAGTCTCTTCACATAAGTAGCCAAGCCATCTTTCCATCATCTGCATTTACGAGATGGTATTTGGAGCCCAAACTCAAGGCTATTAAATCTCATTCTGTTGCTTTTGAGCTAGCCTTCCGATCTCTCAAGAGCTTTTAAACATCTTCATCATATTAGCCATCTCTTCTAGTTTTGTGCCTTCACAGATCTGAAAACTTTGCTCCGTGCACCCCAGCATGATTAGTTTCACCCAGTCTAGGAGCATACTCAGCCAGCAACTGGGGTGTTGAGGGGGCATCAGATGTTGCCCAATACCCAGAAGGCTGGACTGTGTGGTCAGATGGCTGAGCTGGTGACAGGTATGCTTGTGGGAGGCACTGAGCCGGGTTCTAGGAGGTGTCAGAAATCTGCAGCCAGGGCCAAAGCTGAATTGCAAACCAAACGGAATGACCACTATGGAGAACAGCAGATATAATTCCGGTGACCCAGGAGGGAAGGGTGAGGAACCCAGTTGTACTGCTTGAGGCCTCAGCCCAGAACTGCTCTTGCACATGTGAATGAGTGATCTTTGCTGACTCCTTGGCTTCACTGACCTCGTCACCGGGAGCAGCCTCTCCCTCATCCCAGCCTTCACAGATCAGGAAAGCATGGAAGGCAAAGCCGCTAAGGATCTGGATACTGCTAGATCCATAAAACTACAAAAAGCTGAGGTCAGGAAGCATGAGAGAAAGGAGACACTGAATCCCAATAGGAGCAAGAGTCTAAGGTGCAAGTCCAAGTGCCCAAGGGAGACCCTAACAGAGTTTTGCTTCAGCGGGGGGGGGGGGGTGGTTTGTGAGTGCTGGCTCTTCCACCTCGGACCTCCAGCGTCCTCCTCTCACCCCCAACCCCCCCACCCCCAGTTTAAAAAGTATGCTTTCCTGAATCCAGTGTCCAACTGTTTTCATTTTAAAACTTATTTTGTACAACTTATAATGGTTTAGTCACGTTTCACTGTAGATTCTCTTTCCTTTTCTATCTTTTTATGAAATGTTAATTCAACGATTTCCTCACTGATATATTTATCTGGAAATAGTTACACCTTTAAATTCCTGGATAAGTTTTCAGGTTGTTGGTCACACGACAAAAAGTTGAAACTGGCGATGAGCAAAGAGTAAAACAAAACCATCGTTATTACCTTGTCACAGTTGTGAGCTCTTTGGGGCCAAAAAAAGGAAATTAACATGTTTAAAATGGGTACATTCCTAGTGACTTCCAAAAATGGTGTTGCCTTCTAGTCAAGGTTTTATTATCCTATTATTTCATACCTTAGGATTTTTCATGCAGTTACCACATAACTGTATGCTATTTTTGCAGTGGAGTATAAAACTAATACAACCTGTTCGTACTTTCTCAGGATTTATTTTTAAATTTTTTCCTAAGGTCATTTAAATTTTAAAATTTTTCCTAAGGTCATTTAAACTTAAGCACTAATGCACTAGTGCTTTTCCAACAAAAATCCTTCTTTTCTTCCCCCTTTCTTTTATCTCTGCACTTAGATACCTAAATAAAAATCTTTAGTAGGTTGATGGAAACTCATGCATTACCAACAGGATAGAGAGAGATCACCAGTAAAGGCACTTGGTCCACTTCCTCTGGTGTCTGTGAGAAAAGTAGGAACTCTGAGGCCTACTTGAAATGGCCAGCACTGCCAAACGCTCCGTGGCCTACGGTCCATAATAGGGGCACAATCCTGATACGCGTGGCCCCCACACATTCACCAGTCTCTGTTCCAGGAGCAGCCGGTGGGTTCTCCGTGCTCACATTGCCTTCTCTCTTCACCGTGGGATGAGATCGTCTTTTTCCTGGGTTCCCACGTTCATTGTGTAGTTGCCTAGACTTCAGGGCATTACTGAGTTGGCTTAGTAATATATTTCTCTTGGAGACTCTAATTAGAGAACTGGAATTTCCTTCCAGGGAACACGGTTTATTCAGTTATTCATTGGCCTTTCTGGTAAAAGATGCCACTATGTGAGGAGATGCCAAAAGGAAATTTCATGAAATCTCAGCCATCAAGAAGCTGACAGTTCAGTAGGGTTAATTTCCAGGTTGCCTAAATTCTAGAGGGTGTAAATAGTGCCAGGATGTTGGGAAATGATCTGTTTGTCCTTGAATCATTTGTCCATGAGAGATCCACTGTTCTAGTTGTTTCTGCATGCAGATTGCCACTGAGACATCCTTCCTTCCAAAAGAGTCTGTGTGGCATTTTCAGATCCTACAAATCTCTCAGATACCCCCGTGTTATGCCTGATGGGCCCAGGAGTTATTCTGCTTCTTTCTTGGCCAACTGAGGTGAGATGTTTGTGACACTCATGTCCTTATCTGCTCAGATACAACTTAAAGACAGATTTCTGGAGTATTCTTGTCTCCCTGGAGCTCCGTGCAGTGAGCATCCTGCAGATGCCTGTTGCTTCCGGTTCCCACACCTCTCAGAGGACTTGCTTCCTTCCCAGGCTTCTGCCCTAAAGCAGGTGGAGAAACCCTCTGGGATCCACTGGTGTCTCTTGCTTAGCGCCTCTCCATCCTTACTCTTCTCTCCACCTGGTCTGCGGGACCTGGTTTGTTCCTCTCTTCTTCTCTTTAATCTAATTTGTAAAATCATTCTGGAAATTTACTCTTCTGGGTCACAAAACTCAGAGATTTATTTTCTCCTGCTTCCTTTCCTGCGGCCAGAGCTCAGGTCTGACTAGTGGGTCAGGGAAAGGAAATAATTGGGAAAATCTGGGGAGAAAATAGTGGTTAATATTTGAAAAACACAAGGGTAAAACACAAAGACCATGAACACTAGATACAAAATTACTAGTCCAGACTTTTAGTGCTGTTAGAAGTGTTCAGAGGAGGGAGAAACAGTGCTAGTTAGCTGCAGAGGCAGAGTGGGTCCCCTGGAAGAGGTTGAACCCGAGCGGGGCTTTGAGGGTGATCACATTGGGGCAGCTGGGAGGCCAGAATCTTGCATTCCAGTGGAGAGAACCCTGTCCTTAGGGCCCAGACGCCAGAGGGGAAGAGGGAGCCTTGATGAGGAAGGTGGGATGATTCCGGACCGCCGTGGATCCCAGGCAAGGAGGTCAGTTTTACCAAATGGAACAGTATTTCCTAAAATGGATTAGGTTAATGAGGTGAATAAACAAATAGGTACCTCTGTGGTCCAATTCATGAATTCTTACAAATGTTTCTTACGTACCTAGGTTATGCGGGCCTTTGTAGTGGGCGTGAGGACTATGCTGTAAGCGGGGATTAGTTCCTATGCTAGTGAGGGAGGTGGATACTGAACGAGGCATTTCCAGGGCTGAACGCCACGCTAGGAGAGGTACGGGGTGTGCAGCCAGAAACTGGGCCTGGCCCCCAGTTCGGGGAGTGCCCTGGTTGGGGGAGGGGAATTTTCAGTCGGACTTGATGAGTGAGTTGGAGTTCTCCAGGCGAGGAGGTGGAAGAGTGTGCCCTTGGAAGAAGGGGAACCACACACACGCAATGGCGGGGGGCGGGGGGCGGGGGGGGGAGGGCGGGGGGCGGAAGGGTTAGAGTAGCTGAGGAGCTAAAGGATCTCCACGTGACTGGAGTGTCACATTGTCCAGGGTTTCAGGCCAGAGAAAAGATTGGATCGGTTTAGGGATTTTAGATCTTGTCTTAGGAGTTTGCATGGTGGATGATTTGTGTGTTTTAGGATCACGCTGGCTACAGTGTGGAGGGTGGATTAGAGGGGCAAGACGGGAAGCAGGTAGATCCCACTAGGTGGCTGCTACAGAAAGTCAATAGTGACTTAAGTCAGGGTGGTGGCAAGTGAAGATGTAGGAGGACAAGGAAAATGCCAGGGAGGGAGGCATGGAGTGGGGGATGGTGTGACTGACCGTGTCTTGTCCGGTGATGGGCTGGGAGGCGGCTGCTCCGAGGACCCTAACTGGCACGCTCAGGGGAGGCCTGGCACGAGCAGGGACGTTGGTGTCCAGGGCCCGGGCAGAGCTTTGAGCCCGGCCTGTGGGCCATGCGTAGTAGTTCCCTAAAGCTGCTATAACTATGTCCACAAACCACATTGCTTAGAACATGAATGTATTGTGTCCCAGTTATGGAGCCCGGAAGTCTAGAATTCAGGTGTCCGCAGGGCTAGTCTACCTCTGAAGACGCTGGAGAAGAATCTCTCCTGGCTTCCGGGAGCTTCAGGCATCCCGTGTCTTATGGATGGCTCTCCTCTCCTGTGTCTCTTGACTTCGTGGGCCTTTTCTGCAAGTCTATCCCTGTGCCCAAATTCTCCTTTTCAAAAAGACATCAGTCCTATGGGATAAAATCCACCTTTATGACTTCATCTTAACTTGACTACATCTGCAGAAACCCTATATCCAAATAAGGTCACATTCTAAGGTCCTGGAGGGACACATCTTTCTTGGGGGATGCAATTCAACTCATATTCAAGATGAGATCCAGATTATAGAGACAGATGTAGGAGCAAAGATAGAGGGAACCAGGAGGTTAAAAGGCCAGGAGTTCTTGGGAAAAAATTAGGAGGGCCTGGACTCACATAAGCCATGACTCTGGGAGTTCAAGCCAAGTGTTTCTAATTCTCTGAGGGTTAGGGAGGCTTTGCTATGAGATCTGGGCTGCAGATGAACAGGAAGAGGCAAGGACACTGCCTCCCGGAAGGGAACACCCTCTTTGATGGAGCTGTAATGATCCCCACACCGTGGGGTGGACTCATGGTCTACAGGAAGCCCATCTTACAATGCAATTTCCAAGTATTTTTAATATTGATATCAAGGTGCCTTTTCAGCTGCCACCAGGAAACATTAACCTAAAATATAATCTTGCAACAGGTTACAGCGACATCATTAGAATACAGAGTGGGGAAGTGGGAGGTAGCTGATGTTGTACTTAAACAAATAGAAGGGAATCTTGACAAAAGAGAGTTGGAAAATAATTGTCTTTCCCTTAGTGCTAATGTAGAAGGTGGTGACTGTAGATTGACACTTTCAGGGAATCACTCCCAGGGGTGGTGTATTGAGCCACCTAGTGTCCCTCCTGAGCGACCCCAGTACACTCTGATGAGCTGCTGGTCTCTTGCCACCTGGCTCAGTTCCGGTCACTTCCCAGAACGATTCTGACTTGAGGCAGGAATCCTTTCAATAGCCCCAGGTTCCCCCAAAGCAGCGAAGGATCACTGTTTAGTTGACTCGCAGGTTTATCCCAAACAGCGTCCAAGCACTGGCCCCGTGCTGCAAACCTCTACTGACCACGGGGTTTCCGGATTTGTAGCTTGCTCATCTGTGGGGTTCTCACCCTAATTATGGGGTAGTTGCCTTCAGATTTTTTAATTTACATTCACACGCACACACACACACACCCTCCCCTGCTCCCTTCTGCATAAGCCTATTTGGAAGAACCACACATCTGGCTCCGTTGGTTAAGTGGCTCCCTTGGGCTTGGGTCAGGATCTCAGGGTCCTGAGACTGAGTCTTGCATCAGGCTCTCTGCTCAGGGGCGAGTCTGCGATTCCCTCCCACTCTGTGGTCTCACTCTCTCTGAAGTAAATAAATAAAATCTTTTTTTAAAAAGAAAAGAAAGAACCGTGCATCTACTTTGGCTTTCATTTTAAATTCCCACCCAAGTCATCTGTTTAATCCTGCAGTCCCGGAGTGAGTTCTGGGATCGAGCTATGCCTTCTTCCAAGTTCCCACATGCCTATGGCCTTGTGCCCAGATCTTAGGACATTTAACCTAGATTCCCTGTTGCCATGCAGCCCATCTATTGTGATCCCTGTTCATTCCTCCTGGACCCTTCCTTGAGCTGAGAACGGAGAATGTTGCCTTACAGTTGGTCTCTCGTCACCTTGCTTTGGCGAGGTGCTCTAACGCAGGGATCTGTAAAACATTTTCCGTAAAGGACTACTTTGCAGGCCGTGTGACCCGCTCACCAATAGTCAGCTGTACTGTTGCAGCCCAGGAGCAGCCAGAGACAAGGCGCAAACCAACGGGCATGATCGTGTCCCTGAACATTTTTCGTTACAGAACAGGCCACAGGCTGCATTTGGCCCAGCAGCCGCACTTCCCTGCCCCCCGGTCTAGACCATAACTGTGCCTTCATTGCTTCATTTCTTACTCGCCCGCCTTGACCTCTCCCACCTTCACTCCCCACCCTTATGTTGCTGAGAGTGCACCCCACCGCCTCCTATCAAGCCCATCGCAGGGCGAGAGATCCCCCTGGCTATACAAGTCCGTCTGCCTGAGGCGCAGGCCTGTCTCGGTGTCTGTAGGGGCTTCTCAGGGGAAGCAGAGATTAGGGTCCCAGGTGGTTAACGCTCTGATCAGATGCCAGCCTGGCCATTTCTGCTGTTCCTGCCCTAGGAACTAGGATCCTGCCTTGGCTTTCTGACATAATCCGGGTCGCTGTTGCCATTAGTCGCTTCAGCCGACACCATTCCTTCCTCAGTCCTCGAATAAGGCTCTTTCTTTGTCCAGCTGTGGCAGCCGTGTGCTCAGGGAGGGCATGTCCGTCCCAAGTGCAGGGAAGGAATTCTTGTCTGGAATTCCCATTTGAATATATTTCAGGCCCAGTTCTGTACAATAGCATTTGGGGGAGAGTCTCCTTGGGGCTTCTAGGAATTTTTCTCCATGAGGAGAAACCCATGTCCTTCTCTCCCTACTCTTAAATATGATTGTAGGAGAACTATAGTCTCGTAGCGGTTGTGCCCACCTTGGGACGTGGGACTTTGACCAGTTCTTTAATGTTCAAAAAAGAGGGGCAGCCCGGGGGGCTCAGCGGTTGAGCGCTTGCCTTCGGCCCGGGTCGTGATCCTGGAGTCCCGGGATCGAGTCCTGTGTCCAGCTCCCTGCAGGGAGCCTGCTTCTCCCTCTTCTGTGTCTCTGCCTCTCTCTATGTGTGTCTCTCATGAATAAATTAAAAAATAATAATGTTCAAAAAAGGGAAAAGTGGAGTCTCTTCGATTATGGGGTGCTGCCCACACTCTCGGAGGAGTAGAGTATAAGCTCCATATTAACCTTTAGAAAATCTGAAATATTCCAAATTCTGAAACACATTGGCCTCAAGAGTTTTAAATAACGGCCCCTGCATCCCTGCTATAATTTGCATCCTGCATGGGGCAATGCAGTCCCATTTCTAGGGTGAGTAGCAGCCTCACACTCCAGGAGCGCCTGTTTCCCATATGCCAGCAAAGCAGCAGCCTTTCTGTGCCCAGCATCTCCCCACAGTCTCCACCGCACTGAATTCAAATCTATAAAAATAAATAAATAAATTACTGGCTACCAGCAGTGAGAATTCAGGGGTAGCTTCTCCCTCAGAATCTATTTGTTTTTCTGAAGAAAACCCCACATAAGGGGACACCTTGCTGGAAGCCTTCTTCAAGGCACAGCAGTGGGAATGCAGCAAAGCAGTGCGGGACCAGAGGTCAGCTCGCTCTCCGGGCCTGGCGTGCAAATCACACTGAGTGATAACATGTGACTTCTCACTCTCACTGAAGCTTCTCATTTCAACACATCTCTCCCATTTTACCATAAAAATCACTGTATCTTCTTGGCTGATGAAACTCTGTTTTAATAAGGCCTATGGCCTTCGGGTGGCTCACACCAAACCTCTAAGAGCAGTAAATTGCATCTTGGAAATGCAGGCTTTTTGGAAATGTGTCTGCATCAGGACTCTGGGGGATTTACATGCAGAGGGATTTGCAAGGTTTGCATTTTTCATTCATTAAGACTGTGCTGCTGCCAAACTTCCCTTCCTGTTAGTCACACGGGAGGAGGGCTCAACCCAGCGGGCTGGTCATAAATTACTGCGCGGCTCAAGGCACCCAGATGTGGGACCGAGGGGGCCGTAGATCTCGGCACAGGTTTTGTGAATAGTTTCTGAGAAATCCAAATGTATTGAAAAATCACATGTTTACAGAGGAATGAAAGCTGCAGACTATCTTCAGACTCAGCAGGCCAAGAATTCAGCTTGTCCTTTATCTAAGCCAGTGAGAAACCCAGGGTTAGAGGACTGTAAATAGTCTATTTTCGTAGCATTCCATAGGAAAATTGCTACAATTAAATGATTCTTTAGTCTTGATCTGTGGTTCTAACCCCCGCCCCCCACCGCCGTTTCGTGTATCCCTTTCAGAATATGAAGACACCCCTGGGCCTTCCGACGGGGATTTGACGGGGATCGCCCACCGTGGTGCGCACAGTTTCAGAAGGCTCGCGGGTTCCAGGCTCACCCGTGACTCTCAGCTCAAGAAGCTCCTTGCTGGTAACAGTCATGTCTACTCGTTGTGTCTAATTATGTCTCATCTGCATAATATTGCTCCTGTTTTCGCCTAATACCCTATTACATCTCGGAAGTTCTAGCTTTTCCTGACATGAACTTACAGTAAAATACATTTCTATTTTTACAGTGTTCTTTTGAAAAGTCCAAGGTATGTATTTAATTAAAAATGCAAGATTTTCCTTTAAGAAGTTCTTCAAGGTGGGGCACCTGGGTGCTCAGTGGTTTGGTTGAGCATCTCCTTAGGCTCGGGGCTTAATCTCCGGGGTCCTGGGGGGGAGTCCTGCACCCCGCTCCCTGCGGGGAGCCTGCCTCTCCCTCTGCCTGTGTCTCTCATCAATCAATAAATAAAATCCTTAAAAAATGCATTTCTGCAAGGTAGCATTACTCCCTTGATACAGAACAGCTAGGGAAGGGGGGTCGTCCTCCCTGGCTGCACAGGGGCCTGGAGCCACCTGCGTTAGGCAGGGTCGAAGGTGCTGCTGTCGCTGAGCATCTGCCTGCCAGCCGTCGCCGCCCCTCAAGGCCACCGCGGAGGGGCCTGTCCTGTCCCCACATCCCGGGTCCCCGCGGCCCGGCCTCCCCAGCTCCAGGGCCCTCAGGTCCTGGCTTCGGGCGCTTGGCAAGGGAGATGCTATCCCCACTGTTCATTTGCCAGGAAAGGTCAAGCAATTGGCTTAATGCCCTGAAACCCCTGACGTGCAGGGTCGCGGCCTGAACCCAGAATGTTCTGACTTCAAGACTCTCGTGCTTGACCGCTCGGTCCTCCGCTCCCCTTGCGCTGGCGATGGTGCAGAGAGGCTCAACGTGGGCAAGGGACATGGCCCCTGGCCACCTTCCCACCTGCCTGCGAGCTCCCGGGGCGTGTGGCCGAGGAGCTGCCTGGACCCACGCATCTGGGCGGGTGAGCAGGTGCACTCACTGGAGCTGATAGGGTGGGACAGGTGAGCAGAGGCGTCCACCGGAGTGGATGGGGTGGAGCGGCCCAGGGCAGGAGGCGGACCCACGGGGGGAGCGCAGGCCGACAGGTCACCGAGCAGGAGCCCAGGTGAGGCCTGCTAGGCGCCGCCCCTGTGACCCTGGTGCCCCCCCCGCCCCCGCCCGTCCCTGCGGCCCAGCTGTGACCCTGGGGGGCACCAGGAGGACCGTGCCCGACCCTGGGAGCACCGGGAGGACCGAGGGCAGAGGCCCCCCCACAGCTGATGGTGCCCTAGGGGGCGGGGGGATGGGGGGTGGGTGCGGAAGGCAGGGGTCGGCCCCCCCTGCCCTCCTTGCCCTCCCCGCTCCCCCCGCCCCACTGCTCCCAGGGACTAGGGGGCCCTGGGCCCCTGTGCACCCAGGAGGCTCCGAGGCCATTCCGCTGTGGCCACACGCCAGCGCCTCTCCAAACACCAGCGACTTTTCTAGAAGAGCAGGTAGAGGCCGCGCTCTGCACCTTTTGCTTTGACTGAACATCAAGGGCAACACTCCGGGGCCCCGAGGCCGCAGTGACTGTGGCTGGACGTGCTCGGGCTAAGGCAGGACCTAGCAGCATCCCACAACCCCGAGCAGGTAGCAGGTGTGAACAGAGATTTTGACCACTCTGCATTGCATAAAAGGCTTTGCGACATATACTATTTAACGAAATACTTGTTCAGGGGAAGCTATTCCATTTGGTTCTGGAACTTGGGGACGTCCCATGGCTGCCTTGACTCCAGTGGGTTTTCTTGGCATTATCGCATTTCTAGGCAGGACCTTGTTTCTGGAAACACTAAATCTCTTTATTTGGAAGAACTCACAGCAGCAGAAATCTCACCGAATCGAAACTGAATATGTTAGGTCAGAGTCTAACAAACCTCCACGCGGGGACTCCAGAGGCCCCCCGGCTCCGCGGGGGTGAGGGAACATTGGTAGAGGCAACACGGAAGCCTGAGCCCACTCATCGTTCGAGTGGCGCCCCGTCCCTCAGTTCACTGTCCTTTTGCAAGAGGCCGGGCCCAGGGGCGCTTTGGAAGGCCTGCTCGGGCCGCGGGAGGGGCCGGGCGCACTGGGAGCCGGGCACTTTGCCTCCTTACCACGACCGCGTGGGCTGCTTCTTGCTCAGACGAGTGGACACGAGGACGAGGCCGCGTCCGGAAGACTCCGGGCGCTGGAGGGGAGCTCCGGCCCGGGACGACGCAGGCCGCGGACGGCGGGGAAAGCAGGTCGGGACGTGGGAGGGTTTGTTGGGTTTGCTTGGTTTGGTTTGTTTACTTGGGCTCCACGCACAACATGGAGCCCTACGGGGGCTCTCGTGGAGCCCTCAGGACCGTGAGAGCAAGACCTGAGCTGAGGTCAGGAGTCTGATGCTCAACTGCTGAGCGCCCAGGGGTCCTGGGAGATGACAAGTCTGTGGACCCAACATTACCTACTTCGCCGTGTTGCCCGGGAACCTACTGGTTGGAGTCACCCCTGACCTCAGGGAAAACCTGCGAGCGTCTTGTTCCTCGCTCAATGTCCGAGTGGCTTAAAATAAATATTGTAGCTGTTTTGAATTTTCCCCTTTCTTGTAGTTAATTAGAAGGATCTGATGGAGGAGAGTGCTCCTTTGCATGAAACGGGCTCCGGTCCTTAACCTGGTTCTGTCACTAATGTGCTCTGGGATGCTGAGCCTATTAGCCTCTCCGAACGCCCTTTTGTTTCTTTCCATGTGTAATAGAAGAGGCCACAAGCCCGTCTTGCAAGGTTAATGTGAGAACTAAATAAAACAGCGTGTGGCTGAAGGCTCCGCGGGATACCTCGAGCGCAAACACTACATTTCTTCCCCGTAAGGCTGCCTTTCCCTTGCAATCCCGGAGGGACAGTCACGGTGGGGAGCAGGCCTTGGGGCATCCTCAGGGGCCCTGCAGGCCTCCTCGGCGCAGCCCACACCTCGAGGCCCGAGGCTGACTCATTCTCTCAGGGGACCTGGGAGCAGCAGAAACGGCCTTGGGTCTCCGCCAACTAGAGCAGATCCTTTCCAGAGCCGCCGAGGCCCAAGGCGTCTCCCTGGACTCGGACCAGCCGTGAGTGGACGAGGCCCGGCCTCGCGGTAGTTTCCAGAGAACTCAGCCAGGGGCCTCCCAGGCCTGTGATGCTGGTCCCTTCTTCCTCAGAGCTATTTCTGTGAAGTCATCAAGGCATTTTGAAGCAGAAAGTCCTCACGGAGAGGATGTTTCCCACCCGTATTCCCGCCCGTAACACATCGGCCAGGCTCAGAGTCCTCTGCACACTCTACCCCCTAAGCCTTCACGAATTACCGCTCAAGCCGGAAGCAGTGATGACTTATTTGTTCGTGTTCCTTAATTGAATGTCTTTTGAGATGAAAAAAAAATCAATAGCTATCCCAGCAGCCGTCTAATACATTCTAGAATTAACTGCAGCCTCTCTCATTTGCATGGTTAAAAGCACTTTCAGAAACCATAGGGATAAGGAGAAAAAATAACTGGGGACTTACCATGGGTTGACGCGTACATTCATTTTGGTGCTTGTCTTCGGGATGGTCAGAGTTTCTGAGACGATATTTTTAGTAGATGTGTCAATTCCTTTACTTTATGGCCAACGTCTTGGCAAATATAGTTCACGTGACCCAGTGTGAGGCTGTAAAACGTGTTAATGGCCCATCTAAGGTCAAGCTGGCTCCCCCATGAAAAGGGATCAATCCTGGGTCCTCGGGACACGGAGCGTGCTCCTGGGGGAGGAGCAGGGAGGGTGACCCCGTCCTCCTCCGTGGGGTGCCCTCTGGAAGGCTGCGGAGGCTTATTTTGCTCTTCAGATCGTCCTTTCAAGTTTTTCCTTTTTCTTTTCTTTTTCACGTGGCTACTTCAAAGGGGAGTGAAGGCTGGTAGCCTGTGGATTGGCGGGGCCCCTGGAGCCTCTGGGAGCCCTAGCAGGACCCAGACGGGGCTGTGAGTAAGGAAGGTGTTGGCCAGCTCCTCTCGCCTGCGTGGAAGCTCTTGCCTGGAGTTGGTTTTGTCTCTTCCTGCTTCCGGGGCCGAGGTCTGAGTGTGGGTCTGTAACGATGATTCCCAAAATGCGGCCCGCAGGCCAGCTGCATCTGCATCATCAAAGCACTGGTAAAAATGCAAGTTCTCAGGCCCCATCCAGGCCTGTGGAACCACAACTCTGGGGGGGAGCCCAGGAGGTCCTAACAGGCCTACAAGAGGACGTGGACGCAGGCCAAGCCGGAGAGCCACCGGCCTGGGTGGCTCAGCCTACTTCTAGGCTCAGCGTTGATTGAACTGGGGGGGCCGGGCCTACGCAGCTCCACAGGGGGCACCGGGCCCAGGGACCCTGTACCCCCCAGCCCTGCAGCGCCCTGAGGACCTGCTGCGGAATCGGACTCCCGCCCCATCTGCTTCTTGCAGGCGGTGTGGACACCAGCCCTGTGTTCCAGAGCCAGGCCCCCCCAGCCTCCTGCCCCCCGGCCACTGTCCCCGGCCCGACCACAGCCTCCTGCCCACTGCCTTGGTGGCTCTTGCAGGGCCTGATGCTCGGCGGACAGTGGAGGCAGCGCCCTGGCGCTCAGGCCCCCCAGGACGGCTCTGGCTGCAGGACCCGTTTGGATTTCTCAGACTTGAGACTTCCCATCACCGCGTATTTAAGAGGGGCCGCGAAGTGAGCACGCGAGGCCCCGGAACTACAACAGCTCTTTGCTAGGGAGCTGAGGCCGTGGGAAGGAGGGGGCCTACGGAGAGAGACCTGGGGTGGATCCCGGCTCTAGCCCCTGCCAGGCCGGCGGCCGGGGGCAAGGGGCCCAACTTCAGCTCGTCAGCTGCATACGGGGATAATAATATCTACGTCCCGGATGGAGCTGACATGATCGATGCTTAATGGTGATTTTTATTAAATGGTGTTAATAAAAAAAATGGTGTTAATAAAGTGATAAAGCCAAGGTTTTTTCAAGTTGGAAGTCTTTTCTGTTTGGGGATGAATCAGATATTTTGATGTGTTTTCTCACTTTGGTTTTATTTCTGCGATATCATGTTTTGGGGTCAATATTAATATTCTTCTTCTGTCAGTGAGCACATACGTGGACCAGGCCCCGAAGGAGATGGGGTGTAAGGAAAAGGCCAGAATAGGAAGTAGCAGGCGCTGGGAGGGGCCGACCCGCTCCGAGGCTGGACGGCTGTGCCCAAGTGCTGACTGTCCCGTCTCGCGTCTCGAGAGCAGGAGTGCGGCCCCTCATCCGCCCGCAGCTTGCCTCCCTGGGTAGGGGACGCCCGACCGAAGGCGAGGGTGGATCGGAGCCTCATTCGGGCCCCTGCCAGCTGTGTGGCCCGGGACGGGTTGCTTAGCCCTTGAGACTTATTTTCATCATCCATAAAGATAGACTAACGCCTAGCTCGGCTCTGCTGTGAGGCTGGGGATCCCCGTAACCCCAGTCTCCTGCTGTGGTGGGGGAGGGCCACAGATAACGGGGAGAGGATGCCTTTCTCTGCTTGGGAGGCCTCCTAGGACGCCTTCTGCCTGCAGATGTACCTTCCTAATCCTGCACCCGTGCCAAAGTGAAAACTCCCTTCATCATGGACCCCTTCCCCTCGTCTTGTGGGCATGCGATAGGTGGCAGGAGCGCGCCAAGGGGATGCACAAGACGTGCAAGATGTGCAAGATGTGCAAGATGTGCAGGATGTGCAGGATGTGCAGGATGTGCAAGACTCTCGTGCAGATGACTGACAGTTGCTGTCAAATGTCGCCGGTTCGCAGGTCATGGCCGCGGGGACACCCTCGCTGCTCGTTCAGGTGCCCGCCGAGCACGCTGCGGGCCGGGTGCAGGCCGAGCAGAGGGGCGCAGGGGGGCGAGGGGGCGCTCTGTGCTCGGGGCAAGCAGCCTGGGCAGGGAGGACACCGCTGAGTGGTGAAGGTGCCTGGTTCTCACAAAGCAACGCGAATAATTGTTCCCGAGACACCTCGGGAGAAATGCCAAGGGTCACCGAGCCTCAGCTTAGTCATCTGCGAGACAGAGACATAGCATGTCCTGTGCGTCCGCGGCCGGGGACACAGCGACGAAGCCGCAGGCAGCCCACGGGGGGGCCCGGGGGCTCTCCCCACGTCCCTCCCGGCCGCGTACTCCCCATGAGTCCGTTTCCCTGTTCTCTCCCAGAAAAGCAACACTTTAAATCTGTGAAGCATGAAAGTGGATCATTTCCCCTGATACGTGAGCCTGTGGCCACGAAGAAAAGGCCTCCTCCGGGGGGAGCTGCCGTGGCCAGGCCGCCCCGTTGGGCAGCAGGCGCCGTGGCCGAGCCCAGCGCGACCTCCCAACAGCCGCCGGGTGTGGATCGGAGCCGCCCGGGTGTGGATCGGGGCCCGGCCCCGGCCGCAGAGTTAGGCCCCGAGCCCGCGGCGCCCTGGCCCTGCTGCACCCTGCTTTAGCTTACCTCATCCCATCTTCTTGGAATGCCGCGGAGAGGAATTTGCATTCGTTCTTTTTTTTTTTTTTTCCTTGAAATACATTAAGTTACTGTTTTCCTTCATGGTGACGTTATCCACCCCGCCCGGCGGCAAGGGCCACGTTGCCTGTGTCTGTGTCCCTCTCGTCCCCCCGCACACAGTCCCAATGGGGCGGCCGCGGGACGCCGTGGCCCTGGGGCTTGCTCCCCGTCGGTGGGCCGAGGCCCCGCAGACTCGCGGGCCGGACGCAGGCCTACGGGCTGCCGCCTTGGTTTGCTGGCCCGTGACGGGAAGGCCGTGCTGCCGGGGTCATGGGGCGGCAGGGGAGTCAGGCCGCTCTCCCTGGGCCTCCGCGGGGCTAGCCCGTGGCTCCCTAACCCTAAGGGCTTGCAACACTCCCCTGAGGACGCGGCAACATCACGCTCCTCACACTCACCCTTCCGGGCACTACTGTTCCCATTTTGCAGATGAGGGAAGGAGCCTCGAAGGTCCGCAACCAGCAAACGGAAGGACAAGGATTCGTCCCAGATTCTGACCCTACATTCAGGGCATTTCTTGCTCCACAGCAGCTCTTACGATGAACACCTGATGCTCTGTCGTTTCACGGGACCACAAATTGCAGAACGCCGCAAAGGCCCGCTTCGCCTGCTCCTCTCTGGAGCACGGATTACCTCCTGCCTCACACTGTGGCTACTTGCACACACGTCGCAGTTCTCCTGTTGGCCTCCGCGAAACACACGCTCACGCTCGCACTCGCACTCGCACTCGCACTCGCACTCGCACACGGCAGCCACCCAGCCGCATGTCTCCAGCACAGGCCGGCGCCCGCGTACTCACCACGTGTGCACCGAAGAGGTATGGAGCCGAGCGCCTCCCGTTCACGCCGGCTCTGTGTCCCGGTTACGCCAGCTCGCAGCCCCACTCTGGTTTGTGTCTTCCGGAGCCCGTGGTTTAAAATTGAGTTTTTACGCCTGTCTGTATTCCCAAAACGCTTGAGGTGGTGCATTGCTCAACTTAGCGTGTTCCTGGTTTCGCTGACTCACTTGCAGGGATCAGCGAGGCCACGCACCGGTGTGAATACAGAAGTGGGAGGGCACAGGCATTTTATGACGGATCAAGAGACAAGCAGTGACACATCAAAAATTTTAGATGCAAATGAAATGATCTTTTAAGTAAATCGATTCACGAAAGTATATGTTGCAACCGTTTCCAAGCCACGGTCTCAAAGAAAATTAGTGCAGTTGAGGGACCTACCCGGGAACAAGACCTCAAGGTTCCTCGTCCTGGCGAAGTCGTCCTGGGGCTCCTCACGCCACCGCACCCGGCCCTCGAGCGACTCTCCCCGCGTCGCCCGTGGTTCTGCATGTGCAGTTGGGGGCTGCAGCCGTCCAGGCCCCTTAGACAGACTTGCCCCTTGGAGACGCGAGGCTCAGAGTCCCCGTGGCCCCCAGGGGACCAGCGCCAGGCACGCCCCGTGGCCGGTGGGCGCAGGGAGCGCTCATGCCGACAGCGAGTGCTGGTGGATGCGCTCCCAGACCCCAGCAGCCCAAGGAACGGGCCCAGATGGGCTCCCGCAGGCAGCGCTGCAGGTGGGCCGCAAGCTTGGAGCCCCAGAACCCCGCCCCTCCGGGCAGCTTGGCCGCGCTTTTGGGGTGGCCCACGGCTCCTCCTGCGCGACAGCGCCTCTCACCCGGACCACGTCATCGGCCGAAGGGCACCTGGCCTTCGGCGCCCTTAGGGTGGTCAGACCAGGGAAGGGGACGTGGCACTAGTGGAGTCGGGTGGGGCCGGGGTGCTGGGCCAGGGTGCTGGGCAGAGGGTGCTGGGCTGGGGTGCTGGGTGGGGGTGCTGGGCCGGGGGTGCTGGGCGGAGGGTGCTGGGTGGGGGTGCTGGGCCGGGGGTGCTGGGCCGGGGGTGCTGGGCTGGGGTGCTGGGCCGGGGGGTGCTGGGCCGGGGGTGCTGGGTGGGGGTGCTGGGCCGGGGGTGCTGGGCTGGGGTGCTGGGCCGGGGGGTGCTGGGCCGGGGGTGCTGGGTGAGGGTGCTGGGCCGGGGGTGCTGGGCTGGGGGTGCTGGGCCGGGGGTGCTGGGCCAGGGGGTGCTGGGTGGGGGTGCTGGGCCGGGGGTGCTGGGCTGGGGTGCTGGGTGGGGGGTGCTGGGCCGGGGGTGCTGGGCCAGGGGGTGCTGGGTGGGGGTGCTGGGCCGGGGGTGCTGGGCCAGGGGGTGCTGGGTGGGGGTGCTGGGCCGGGGGTGCTGGGCCAGGGGGTGCTGGGTGGGGGTGCTGGGCCGGGGGTGCTGGGCTGGGGTGCTGGGTGGGGGGTGCTGGGCCGGGGGTGCTGGGCGGGGGGTGCTGGGCTGGGGTGCTGGGTGGGGGGTGCTGGGCCGGGGGTGCTGGGCCAGGGGGTGCTGGGTGGGGGTGCTGGGCCGGGGGTGCTGGGCTGGGGGTGCTGGGCTGGGGCACTGGGCCGGGGGTGCTGGGCTGGGGTGCTGGGCGGGGGCACTGGGCCGGGGGTGCTGGGCTGGGGGTGCTGGGTGGGGGTGCTGGGCCGGGGGTGCTGGGCGGGGGGTGCTGGGCTGGGGTGCTGGGTGGGGGGTGCTGGGCCGGGGGTGCTGGGCCAGGGGGTGCTGGGTGGGGGTGCTGGGCCGGGGGTGCTGGGCTGGGGGTGCTGGGCTGGGGCACTGGGCCGGGGGTGCTGGGCTGGGGTGCTGGGCGGGGGCACTGGGCCGGGGGTGCTGGGCTGGGGGTGCTGGGTGGGGGTGCTGGGCCGGGGGTGCTGGGCCAGGGGGTGCTGGGTGGGGGTGCTGGGCCGGGGGTGCTGGGCTGGGGCACTGGGCGGGGGGTGCTGGGCTGGGGTGCTGGGCCGGGGGTGCTGGGCTGCCCCACCGCCAAGCGTCGCAGCCCCGAGGGCCAGTCATGCTGAGGCCAAGAAACTGGTTCCCAGGACGAGGGTAAAGTCCTGAACGTGCCCCGTGCACGGACTCTTGGGTGGTTTTCCCTTTGTAAAAGGAAACTTCGAGATCCTTGAATGAAAGTTGCTGCGTCAGTTTTTTGGTTTCGGATCGTGTTGCTCCCAGTCCCCGGCCCCGGGGAAGCGTGGCTGCCTGGGTCCGACTCAGCTCCTTCCCACATTGCAAGGCGTTGTCTTTGCTTTCCTTGGAATTGCCTTCTTAAAAAATCTTTTTTTTCTCCTTAAAATACTTTATATGCTAAAAGTTTGGCCTTAAACCGCCTAGTTATCTAAGTCGTTTCTGACATAGTTGCCAGGATTTTATTTATTTACTCGTGAGAGACACCGAGAGAGGCAGAGACGCAGGCAGAGGGAGAAGCAGGCTCCATGCGGGAGCCCGACGCGGGACTCGATCCCGGGACCCAGGGTCACGCCCTGGGCCGGAGGCAGACGCTCACCCGCTGAGCCACCAGGTGCCCCCAGTTACCAGGATCTTAAAGAGAACTTTTCAGACGGATCTTAGAACTAAAGGGTACTTATTTTCCTGAAGCCAAGG